AACTTTTCGAAAAAACCACATTTCGAGTAAAACGCATTTCAAAGTTTGACATCTTATTTAAAGTAATGGCATCTAATTTCATAAAACACTTGTAGTTTATGTTCTAGAGATTGAAAAATAAATAAAATTGGTATTTTATAAAGCTAATAAGATGGTTTAAAAAAAATAATCATAAAAAAAAAAAAATGTCAATTTTTTAAAAAAAAATCGATATTGAGTTATTCGGATGCCTTAAAGTTTTTGTAGGTTTTGTATAAATTGCATTGCACTGAAGGCATTTTGCCCTTTAAGACTGAAAGCGATCATTCCAAAATCTGGCAATTAGCATGATCATTTCAAACAGTAATAAAACCTTAAAAGTTTTCAAGAATTTTTCGAAAATGACTAATTTTTATCTTTTAGCATATCTTGCAACATGAAGAATTTAGTTGCTGTTGTTTTTGAGCTAAAAGGTCATTGTGAGTCGTTAAATTAAAATTTCCTCCTCAAACTAAAAGTACTGGCATTTTTTTTCTGTTAAAGATATTCTATCTAATTTAAAAACAATTGATTTTATAGAAAAAAAATAAGAGAAAAATAAAACATTTGAGTTAATCTTTTTCGCGAGTCTTATTTAAGGGCCACTTTATAAAAAAAAAATAATTACAACATGCATTTATCCCATTTCATTAAACATTAGCATCTTTGCAATTATTTTGCATAAAATAGTAAACAAAATAAAGTCTTAAATTGCTCAGAACAGCATTTTTGAGTTTTTTTAACGAGAAAACATCAAAGTTTTCTCAAATTCTGTATCAATTTTTAAAGAATTTGTAGCTTTCATACATTACAGATATAGAATTTGAACAGAAAGCATAATAAATATAATGTGAAAATGTATCAATATGGTTTTGCTGTGAATTTGAGATGGTATTTAAAAATACCTGATTATACGCTTCGTAATCTTTTGTTAGGTTTTCGTGACATTATCATAAGATCTTATTGTTGCAGACGGTTTCTATGTTTTAAACATCAAAATTTACTCTAAACTGGACAAATGCTTTCTAAAACAGACAAAATAAAACTGTTTTTATGTTTTTAAACATGAAATTTATGTATTTTTATGTATGTAACAATCTTCTCGCACAGACAACAAACATCACATTTAAAATATCATCTCATACCTTTTTCTCATAAACTATTAAACATAAAGATTTAAATTTTATTTATATTAATTAGACATTATATTTATACTGAAGTGAAATTTTTTTAAGTATAATTAGTTTTTTCAAAGACAAATTTTTAGTTCGCCGAACAATTATTATTATGAATTTATTAAAATTTTCCTTTTTTTGTTATGATAACTGCTTTATATTTAAATGTTTTAAGGATATTTCAAAAATGTCAATTCAGTATACACAATTGCATTTAAGAAACATACACACAGTAAGTTTACACAATTTTAAAAATATAAATTTTAAACATGCATACAGTAAATTTGCACAGTTTTAAAAACATAAACTTTAGAAAACTAAAATTTTTATAAACAAATCTTACCTTTTTACTAATTTTTAATCCAATTTTTTCTTAAATCTGCACACACACACATAATTATAACTTCAAGTATTTTTAAAATATTTTTAACTCTTTACTAAGCTTTAGTGGGATTAAATAATCAGTAATAATAACTAATTAAAACTAAATTTAAAGTGAAGAACAGACTTAAATTTAGGTAAAATCACTAAATATCAAATATAACATTCAAAAATTAAAACCACGCTTCCAAATTTGGCTCCAATATTTTTTGCACATCTAACACAGTTAAATTTACAGTTACTATACTGGTATCTAATGCATATGTGAATAAAAATAAATTGAGACTTTGCAACTTTGCCCCAGATTGAAAAAGACAATGTTTACATTTCTATCTGTCAAATGGGAGTGGTTCATAATCTGATTATTATTTTTTAAAAATCATTTTAAAGTACTTCTAATTCATATAATGGCTTGTATGTTATGTCATTGGAAATGTGTACCAATTTGAAGATTTTAGAAATATCAAAAACTCAAAATCGATTTTCAAAAGGTTTTTACCCTACTGACTGCCATTAAGAAGAAAAAGCTATACAAATTTATTTTTAATTTCGCTTAGTGACTTAAAAATAACTAAACAAATCCAGAATGCTTGCGTTATTGCTGAAGAGCATAAAGAGCAGGATATTATAATCTGTGATTTTTAAAAATTTGTTTACTCAGTTGAAATCTTCATCTTGAAATTGAGAAAAAGTTTGTAAATAATTCGTAAAATGCAAATGCCAAATCAATTTTGCTGCCAGACATTATATCTTTTACATTTTGTTACACAATATTGATATACAATTGTTAAAAACTAAATAAAGAACATTTTCTGTTTTTACGTCATATATTTTCTCTTGAGGGGTCTCCACCTTAGGATATATTTCCTATTAGGAAACTAGTAACGTCTCAACGGCCACGGAGTTTCGCGGGGAAAAATATCTCACTGGACACTTCGAAGCTTATGTTTTAACGCAATTTAAAATTTGTCGTTTCGTAATCCAGCCGACAATGAGGTGAACGGCACAGTTCCTATGTTTATCCAAAGTCCCATTTCCACCGCGTTAAGGGGACTATGATCAATAGTGGAATAATAATCTCGCCTATGACCAAGAAGAAGTAATACTGCATTATGTGTTATTTTTTGGGACTGATGTATTCTACCATTAAAGTGACACCAAAAGAAAAACCACAAGAATCGATACGCTAAGGAGCTCCACAGACACTAGATACACTTCTGCAGGTTTCAACAATCTACGACACCCCAGCACACTCTACACGCTATCTGACGCCAACAGTCTTCCAGATTTACTCGGAATCTCTAGCACTTACTGTGAATTATTAAGCGGTGTCGAAAAACTAAAATCGTATTTTTTTGACAATTTGATATTTTTACTTTTTCAACTTTTATAGATTTTAACCTTTCTAAAAATACCTTACTTTAAACTCTAGAGTAATTAGAAGCCTTTTTTTAAATATTAATTAATTAAGCCTCGTTTTAAATAATCGTTGAAACTGGGCAACGTCCTTTGGAATGGCGAAAAATGTAAACAAAGTACTTCGTTTTTGCTTAAAATTTGAGCATCTGATATAATTCAGAACATGTATATTTATTGCAAATTAAACCTTTTTTTTCCTAACCGATTAGAAGTCTCACTGTATGCATTAAAATCAATTATCTCAAAATGTAAATTTGAATGGGCGATGTATCTTTTCTGAGAAACTACAGTTCATAGGTATGTAAATTTTTTTATGATATATTCATAATGGTGGTTAATATATAGTGAAATGAGCTTTTTGTAAACAACTCAAAAATTTACTTTTTACAAATTTTTTATGTGAAAAGTGGATCTAATTTCGCAATGTTTGATAAATACTTCATAAATTATTAAACAAATATCAAAATTAGCTAAAAGCTCCTTTCAGTATAAGGAGAAAGGTGTACTTTAATTCTATGAAAAATTTCAAGCATGTACATTTAACAGATTTTGAGCAAAGGTACATCAAAAACAGCCAATTTGACATTGTCCGTATATATAGAGAGAGAGTTTCCAACTCCATTTAAGTCTCACACCTTTGAGCATACCAACGTCGTCACAACGTAGACTTTCTTAGGAGTGATCCAGCCTTATAACAGCAAACTCAACAATGCTGTACCTTACCAGCTCTTTAGTAATAGTGATCTTCTTCGCAGCACTCAATAATATTTTGAAAAAATGGAGGGACACATTAAGTTTGTGAAATAAACTACTAGTGAGTTTTAATTGAGCTGCGACCCCTTGCAGGACAGGTTTCTATAGTTATGAGCTGCTGACGTTTTTGGAAAAGAACAACTAAGATTAGAATTAATATAATGAGGCTACATATTGCCGCTTGTATCTCATTTCTCTTACTAGTTTTCCAATATTTTCTTCATCTTAGTTCAACGTTTCGCAAACTGTGTGGCGCGAGCATATTGGAACAAAGGATTATTTTTTAAAAATTACTAATTTACTGAAAGTAGAAAAAAACCAATGTAAATTCTGACATAATAAAAAAATAAAATACACTTTTACATTGATATAGTACACTTATAAATGTACCAGTACTGCACAATGTTTTTTATAATTAACTTGCTGGTATATCCGTTCTTCACACGGGTGAACAGAAAAATTAAACATTACAGATTCAAGGATAAGAAGTTATTGATGAGTAAATTTTTCGTGAATTGCAAATTAAACAAAAAAGCTTATAGCATAAGAAAAAAAAAACATATCTCAGCTGAACAAAAAAAAAGAGAGAAAAAAAAACACCTTTGCTAAGTTTTAAGTATGTAGATCTAATAGCAGATAAAAAAAGAGGGTTTTTTTATTGAAGTTATACTTCTTTTGGGGCGTTATAGCAATAGGAAGATGGTGAATTTTTACGATGCCCGCGCACACCGTCACGGATGCGAAAAGGATTTATCTAGAAATATACAGAACGTTACAGATCATTGCCGCCTTCGAAATTCTCAGAAAAATATTTCTCTTCATTTTCCTGAAGAGGAGTCCCGGGTTTAAACCGGGGACCTCTCTATATGCAGTAGAATGCTCTACCACTGAGCTATACCCCCACGTCAGCTAACCTTTGCTTTCCGTAAGAACGGATACGAAAATGCTTTCTCTAGAAATAACAGAACGGAACAGATGATTGCCGCCTTCAAAATTCTCAAAATTATTTCTCTTCACTTCCCTGAAGAAGGGGGCACATTGGTGTGAACCGGGGACCTCTCGATTAGCAGTCGAATGCTTTAAAACTGAGCCGTGTCTGCGAACCTTTGCTATGCGCTGATTTGTGACGTCACTACTAGTAGGAAGAGATCGTCCTTCGCCTACGGAGCTTCTCTGATGCATTTGTTTGAACACTTTTTGTTATTAAACAAAACATACTTGCAGGAAATTAAAAAAAAAAAAATAGTAAATTAATCTTTAAATTGCGTTTCATGTACATAAATCATAAGAGTAAATATTTGTTTACCTATTTAAATAACAATTGTAAGTATATGATTATATATGTATTTACTACGAACGCATTGCTATGAACATAAACATATTTATTACATTGTAACACATTATAAGAGCCTTTTGTATACGTATATTTATTTTTGTAGTTTTCCATCTTTTTGGGCGTTAGGAAAAAAAGGATGAGGGTAATTTTTTACGATGCGCACGCACACCGTCACGAACACGTGCGCATACCTTCACGACACCGATGCGCGCGCGCACACCGTAGTCTAATATTTTAACATGCCACTTTTTTGGTGCTATGGGACTGATATTTGGGGGATCATAATAACTGTTGTTATAAACCATACTGTTGGGACGCATCCACCCTGTGCATTCCCCCCTCTAATGCATTTTGGCCAATATCTCGGCACCCGAGCCTCACAGTCTGTTAGGACCTAGCTCATTCAATCCCTCTCTATCTGCTCTTCCAGTTATCATAATTTCATGTTCATAGGGCTATTTCTTTTATAGTTTTTAAGTGTCTTAAACTTTTTAAATGTGTTTAAAATCACAATATCTTGGCTCTTGTTCAAGTCTCAGACTTCAGATTTGAACCAAGTGTTCCCCTCGTCGAGACCCATCCAGTCATCTGCTTCATTCCCATTGTGTAGGCGTGGGAAGGCTGAATCACTAAAATATCATGCTCCCATGTTAATCCTATGGAGACTGGAAAAAATTTCAACCTGCCCCCCCCCCACCTTACCCTTAAGGAATTGAGCTCGGAACTTGAATTTTGGAGGTTCGCGCGCGAGCTTTACGTGGAATTGGCCCCCTCCCAATACAGGGCTTCCCCAGAAATAACTCAATTCCTATGGTACCTTGGTCGACTGCACCGGATGGAATCGATTGTTCTTTCTATGAGCATCCTAGATATATTTTTTCAGGACCATAGCCCCATTTCTTTAACCATATTTAACATTTTAAAATTATTTTAAATTATATATATTTTTTAAAATCCTGCATATAGCCCCATATTTAACATTTTAAAATTATTTTAAATTATATATATTTTTTAAAATCCTGCATAGCTATGAGGATTTTTGAGATTCGTTAATGAAACTCAGACCATAGATTCTCCTCGTTAAGCTGTTTCATCTGTTATAATTCGTGTGTTCAAATAGTGGGCGCTTAGGGGGGTGTTATCACTAAAATTAGAATCCCCTTGGTTTTCCAAAGGGTTCGGTCTTTTGATGACGTAACGATATTACAGAGATAGAAGGAGGAAACTTTGGGATCACCTACTACTCTGCGTATCCCTAGGATGTATGTGACCATTTACGTTACGTTTGCCCCCCCCCCCACGGAGTTAGTTTCGTTTTCCTTTCCCGAGCTAGCACCACCCCATTTGCAACTACAGACTCCCGACAGGTTCTAATGGATTTCTCTTGTGTTTGCTCACAACCAGGCTCAGTTTCGAATTGCTGGGTGCTATACTTCTATTTTATTTAATTTTTTTTAAATGTTTCAATTATTTTAAAACGACCATAACTGGGGGGGCTCTTCAGGCGCATGACTTAATTTTCTCAAGAAGGATTCTTCCCACTGAGGCATTCAATATGAGGTCTCAGATGTCACATTCAGCTCACTTGATCTCCAGATATAGTCTGATACCCCCCTTAAGTTATTGGTTCTATTGTCCTTGTGCGGAGGTGTTTAAATTTATTTAAATCGTGATTATCTGGTTTGGCTGGTCCAATTGACAGAAGGTTAGTATCGTTCAACTCTGCTCATGACCGCCTTTCGTCTTTGGCCCAGCTTGCCCAGCTAAAGATTTTTAGAAAGATTTTAATCTTGTTACGAAAAAGAAGTATAACTTCTTACGTGTGTACATAAGTACACACACACTTTTCTTATAACTCCCCATAACACTCTTGAGGGTCGATTTTTGAAAATACCTCCCTAAGCTGATCTCTGCTTAGCAAAAGTAACACATTGTTAAAAGTTTTGTGTAATGAACGCTTAAAATACTGTAATTTATTTATATCTGAATGTTATTATAACATTAATATTAACATACATATAACATTAATGTAACATACATTAATATTACTTTATGTAGTATTTATTTTATGTTAAATTTGTGATCTTTGCAAGCAAGGCCATTTCTTAAATTACAATGGCGATTCAATGAAAAGCATAGCGAAATGTTAATGATAGAGTCAAGTTGGCAAATGTCTAGCAACTTTCATAGCTTGAGCTTTATATGAGCTTTGTAAGACCCGCCGTATAAGGGAGCGATGCACGTTAATACTTTATATACCACATAATGATTTACTGCAGTTTTTCCATACAATAAATTTTTTTCGATCAGTACATTGAAAAATTAAGGAATATACATAAACAAAATACTCCACTTTGGGAAATTTAATCCGTTAGAGCTAATAAATTAATTCAAGATATTCCCCTGTAAAATTAATTATATACACCGTTCACTTAAAATAAATAGTCGAATCGTTTTTTAAGGTCTTCATTAACATGCAAAAACATAAGACATTTAAATTTTCACATAAACTACTTATTCGGGACAAAAATAACAATCTTTGCAATGCGCTGAAAACGCAATATCCGCTACAGAACTATTCGCCTTCCCCGGTAAAATACTCATATAACCCGTGCTGCCATATATCTTGGAAGAGTGGATTTCAAAGAATATTCCTGCTTTGTTATTGGTAGGATATTCCTTCTAAGTTGGTGCGGTGTAGTAGTTAGGAGAAGGGGGTTCCAGCTCAAGTGTCGTCCACGTCAATTGACCATTTTTCAAAATTACGTGGTCCGTTGCCAAAAGCCCTTGTGTAGCTGAACAGTGCGACGTTAATATACACTCGCTTCAAAAAATACAGTAATAATTATTATTACTGTAAATTAATAATAATTAAATAATTATTTTTATACTTAAAAATGCAATATCTGCCTATTCAATTAAAATTATGGCTTTATAATTAACTACTAACCACAAACAAATTTTGAAAATTTGTCAAAATGATGTAGTGTGAAAGAGAAAGTTTATTTATTTTAAGTACCAGAACTGATAAGAGCATTTATTTTGAAAAAAGATCAATTTCTTACTACCAAATGTGCATAATAAAATCATTAAAAAAACCCATTCACAAATAAAAAGAGATTTATAACAACCCCTCCCTTCAAAACCTAGTTTTATTCTGAAATAAAAAAAAATAGGAATTATGCTGATCACAGGAATTAATTATAAGAAAGCGCCTTGCGCAGCCAAAACAAAAAGTGTTTTTTCACAAATAAAATATAGATATATACTGTTGTGGCCTTTTTTGCAGCGCACGCCAGAAATGCTTGCAAATGACAGAATTTTTTCTTACTTACTTGACAAATATCGTTATATTTTGGACACTTCACACAATATATTTATAAATAAAAGTCTATGTCTTATCCTGATGTATAAGCTATATTTCTGTAAAGTTCCATTAAAATCCATTCAGTTGCTTTTGCGTGAAAGACGGACAAACATCCTCACAAATTTTCGCATTTATAAAATATATATCTAGATTTAATAATTCTAAGTTAAGACGAAGTATATAATAATTACCAGTGCCCCAATGGTCTGATCATATATAAAATTATATACAACAATTAGTACTCATTTTGATAATTTGTATGGATTTCAATTAATCTTTTAACTGTTGATTAAAAGTTATGCTATTCGCTCCCCAATGCCACCGTTTTCCACGTAGGCCTGCCTCTGTGATGTATGGGGGGGGGAGGGAACGGTACTTTTATTGCATTCCAAAGCTTTCTGAATAATATTATGGATAAAAATGCACAGAAAAGATAGTACGTTGGACAGACGTATATTTACGCCCTTGTAAATTAATACTACATTTACATTCACCGGTGGCACTTAAGATGTTTAAATCGTATTCTAGCTTTAGCATCAAAGTTATAGTATTTTTGATTTCAATACATTGTTATTGTATGGAGGGGCGCACGATGAAAACTATGACTATCTACTTTAGTTATTCTTCTCAAGTTTATGATTAAAAATGCTCCACTTTAACAAAAGATATCTTATTCCACACATCTAATACAGAATTATTAATATGAATTGTTATGATTAAATCGCTTTAATACTGGATATTTTTTATAAATTTATTCTAGTAAAATTGTGAGAAACTGCCTAAAGTTCTAAATGAAGTGATTTCGTTTTTGTCAATGGTTACAATGGTATTTCAAAATGAATTTTAATTGTTTTCATTCTAATAAAACGGGCTTCATTCAAATTTTTATTGACATTTATAATTATATATATGTTGGATTATATTCCTTCAAAACTTTCTTTTTTTCTTACTCTATAAGCAATTAAGAAAATAATTCTTATAGCAGTCTTCTTTTAGAACAGTAATCGCTTGTTGTAGCACGATTGACCCTGATACATTGTTCTGAGAATTCTTCCCAATGTGATTCTACCAATCATTGATATGAGCACAGAAGAAATCAGGAAAACTCCCCAAGAATTTTGCTTTCCTATCATTTTTCAGAACATAGTTCTTTTTTGTGGTTATAATAAGCAGCTGATGATGTTAGTGGATAGGGTGAT